TTTTTTTTTTTGCGCTGAATGTCTATCTTCTGGGGTCTAGAGCTAGCACTGAGCGACTTAGCCTGAGCTTCGATCAGCCTATCCCGCTGAATTATCCTTCACCTTGAAACGACGGTTGTTTCAAGTCTCCTCATAATTGCTCGAGCCCCATGTTATGTCAAGTCGGCGCTACCTTTCTCCGGGAACGGCTTGATTCCTATCGCAGCTGACTCACGCATTGACCATTTGTCTTTCTACGCCTGCAACGCGGGGTATACCATTCAGTGCGAGACCTCATATACCTTTTGTCTTCTTCACCGCCATCAATTTATGCCACCTAAAGGCAATGCGACCCCATCGAACTCCCGTCAAGTCAATAATCTTTTGCACACGCTAAGGTAAAGACACCTTAGTGGCCACGAGACACAAGTTGCTCATATAACTACAATCCATATAGGGGAGAAGATTTTCGCCATGCGCAGAACCTGCTTCAATCAAACAAGCGAACCACAGCTTACACGTCCCATACTAGTCCGACTCTTCCGTTCGACCAGATCTATCTGGATGAGGTGATCCAGCCGAGACCTACCCAGCCACGAGGGACTACGAGACCTGTTCTGTTGGGTCCTCAAGGTTTTCTAGAATACGCATATCCAAGAGGCTTAGTGCCGGGTCCCCCACCTCCCAAGAGCTGGAGAGATTCGACTGGAAGGGAGAAGGACGAAGACATTGACGAGCCAGCGCGAAGAGCTCAGATGTTCTCTCTCATATTCTCCTACATAACACGTCGTGATCCTCAGGCAGGAATTGAGGGCAGGGAGACGACGTTTCCCTCACTTGCGTTGCTCTGCCTTCAAGTCCTACTCTCTGTATTTCCGGATTCCGACGATGGCGGCTTTGCAGAAGAGGTTGCGCAGTACTTGCCTCCCCATCTGCGTCGTGACATGTTGCGCTGGTCTGCTGTCCATTCCCCATTACCTACTTCGAAGTTATATGCTTTGTGTGAACCCGACGGTCATGCGGAGGGTGAGCTCATCGTAGTCGGGCCACAAGCGTCGTTGTCCCGCGATCTCCTTAGGAAAAATTCGTCGGCCACAAGCGGTTCTGTCCGTCATACGTCTGCAGAGAGCACACGAGAGGAATGGGACTCGCCGGTATCAGATGCCCATCTCCCTGCGCCGTTGCATACTATAGTACTCCTGACTGTGCCGCTCCCACTCAACACTTTATTGGCGTTCCCACCTACGTTGACCCATCTAGCTCTACTTTCCCTACCTACCCCTGCACCTATCCACCGTCTGCCACGTATTTGCCCCCTCCTTGAGGTGCTCGATCTCTCTTATAATCCTTGGCTAAGCATGGACACTGGCCTGAGAGGATTTAAAATGGGGGCGGAGGTCACTTTGAACAGAGTGGAATGGGATCGTTGGAGCAGATTAAAAGTATTGGGTCTAGTGGGGTGCGTAGTTGATGCGGAGCTCGTGGTGCAAATCAACAAAGGACGATGGGAGGACATTGCGATCATTGGTGTAGAATCAATAAATACGGGATAACATGCGATGAGAACAGGTAGCACTACATACGTCACCAACAGCTGAGTTCACAAATACTCATGAGATCAACGGATGGAGGGTCAAACACAAAGAGAAATACTACAGAAAGACAATCCAGTTGAGCTAGGGACATACATACAAAATGACAATTGAACCGGGTCCGATGAAAAACACAATCTATGTCATGGACCGGCATCCAGAAATGCGTGTAGATCGAATGGCGGTAAGATCTGCAACGTACTTCAGACGATGAACAGATACTTGGCAATAAAGGTGGTTTGTTACCTCGGCGGGACCGCCATCAGCGCCAGGTTTCTTCACGGTCGACATAGGATCAATGTCGCCGGATCTGCCAGCTGCTGACGACTGAGCTGCCTTGAGGCCCGGCAGTAACAATCCAGCAGGCCAAGCAATGCTAGGAGGAGCCCTGACCTTTATTTCATGTAATGTTGACCAGACGACAGAGGCTTGTCGTGCGGCGAGCTCCACTGTGGATACCGCAGATTGTCCGGTCCTGTCTAAGGAAGACCACCGTCAGCTTTCCATACCACGTTCAACGCGCAAACTCACAGAGAATGGCACCATCAATCTGATCAGCAACTGCGTCTCTCCTGTCCTGGGTCATATATGATGCCATGGGGCCATACTCGGGCACTTTGTACGCCAGGAGCCCGCCAACTTGAGCGAGTTCGCGCAAATACTTGCCTCTGTCATCTGGATTCGGTAGACCAATGGCTTCTGAGTAGAGGTTTTGCGCCCGATGGAGAAGTTGCACATTGGCTTCCTCAGGATCCTCCTGTCGAATTATATCGGGGCGGACTGCTTTGCTAAAGTCAGAAGCGGGGGGGATCACGCCTGGAGGGTAGTATGGAAGCGGGACCGTCCGTGCGGCCTCAATAAAGGCAAGGATGTGCAAATTAAGTGCGAGATGGACCGGGTTAACGGAGGCGGACGGAATATATTTCAAGCCATCTGCAGAATGGCCACTGGGCCCAGAATCCGAGCTTTCGGAAAGCACGGAAGGGAAATGCTCATTGAGGAGTTCCGTGGCCTCGTTGACCTGGCCAGACAAGATGTGTATCTTAATGGCTAGTAGGAAGGCAATCAGCGATGTAACATGATTCCTGGCCCTACAAGCTACCTTTCCGTAATTCCCCAATCGCAAGTTTCTCATCAACTACATTGGTAGCAGCGCCGCCGTCCTGGATAGTGAGTGGCATGATTTCGTCGCCGTCAGCATTGGAGGGCTTGACGCCACTATCCATCATAAATGCATGGGCAGTACTTGAGAATGAGTTTTGGCAAAGGTAATCCAATACCAGGAGCCGCTAGTACCCTGTGGGCTTTAGAGGAGCCAGCAGAGTGTATAGGCATGCCACGTACAAGATCGTCTGGGGTAGGCTGGAACAAGCGGGCAGCCGAGAGCGGTTTGGCACCTATTGCGCTCGGCTGCATGGTGGTATGAGAAAGAAGTACCAGGGAGTCTATACGCAATCACTGTTGCCAACTCAAGTCTTGCACATTCGGGGCGGTAAGTGGGTGAGGCTGATGGTAGGACAGTCGAGAGCTTGCAGCAGAGGAGAAGTGGAGTTACGGACGAGCCTGAGGCGCGCTGTGCGCATGCACGCTGACACCGGATTTGGGAGACTCGGTTCGGCGATTGCTTGGCCGCGCCCAAGTCGCTTTCAGCTCTGCCACTTCACTTCATCTCCCCGGCCCAGCAGGTCTCCGTCTCCCTCCACCCGCTGTATGCTACCATTTCAATGCTGGAGACCGTCACCTTCAGCGATGTCCTCGGCTATGCATCCATAGGCAGCTGGCTCGGCGCACAGTTCCCGTGAGTGCGCATCTGGGCCAATCTCAGCCAATCTCGACTACAATCGCAGCTTGTCATTTAACTTCTCAATCTCCCCAGACAGGTTCTTGAGAATGTACGCCGGCAGTCAGCAGACGGCCTTGCGCTTCCTTTTCTGCTGAACTGGGCGTTGGGTGAGTTCACCATTGCTATGGGCGATCCAGGCCGTCTGAATAGCTACTCTATCCAGGCGACGCAACAAATCTTCTGGGATGCATCCTCACCCACCAGCTCCCCTTTCAAGTGCGTCTAATGTAAATTGCACAACTTCTCTCCCGTCTTATCTCGATTGCGTAGACGTATCTGGCGACGTATTTTTGCTTCGTAGATGCAACGCTCCTGGTTCAATTCTTCTACTACCGCTTTAAGTATCCCGCAAAGCCTTCGTATCTATCCGCGCGTCCGCGTACAACGTCAGTGACAGCCCGCCGGATGTCTGTCGAGCGTGAGGCAAGCCACTATCGCGCTCTATCTAGCGTTGCCGCCAACGTTGCCGCTGCGGCCGCTCTAGCTGCAGGACAGGAGGACTACGCGCGTTGGAGGCGGAATAGTACTGAACGTGGCCCGTATTCGGCTGTCGAACCGCGTAATCTTCCGGATGACGATGACGACAATGTGTCGGACGAAGCTCTTGCGCGCCTCTCTGACAGTTTCCAATCGGAAGGCGGACGGATAGGTCGAGGGAAGAAAGTCTCATGGAGCCGGGAGCGACGCGGGGGTAGTTTGGGTAGGAATCGTCAGTCCACTACGTCTCCGTCGGGCCAATTACATGCATCCCTGGCTATGACGCTGCAGCCTGAAGAGGCAGAGGCGCTGGCCCGTGGGAGATCATTATCTCGGGAGGTACAAGGCGACGAAGGGGATGAAGAATGGTCTGCATCGCGAAGACGTAGTTCGCGAGCCAGCAGAAAAGGCGCGAGCATGGTGTTTCTGGGCGCGTGGGCTCTATTCGGCATTGGCACATTGGCTAGCAGCCAGCACGGACTCACCTCAAGTGGCAAACCTACGACTGGTCGTGTATTATCCATGTCTGATTTTTCGCCGCCGCTGCCACAGCATGCTGAGCGAGTTTCGTCCCTGCTAATGTCGAATCCCGAATCACACACAGATCACATAGTCACTGCTCAGTTGTTTGCGCGCGATTTTGAACCAATAGACTTTGACTCCCTCAACCAGCCTGAACAATCTACAGAGTTCATCATTGGACGTGTATCGGCATGGACATGCACCATCCTATATTTGACATCTCGATTGCCTCAGATTTGGAAAAATGTGAGCTTACCCTCTGTTACTCCTATCAATTTTTGCTGACCCTATTCATAGTTCGTCAGGAAATCTGTAGAGGTCAGTATCAAGACTGCAAACAGAACATAGCTTTCTTTCCTTACTGAATTCCATTCTATAGGGCCTGTCGATGTATCTATTTATCTTTGCTTTCCTCGGCAACTTTTTTTACGTTTCATCTATCCTCACATCGCCCAAGCTTGGCCTACCTGAGGCAGAGGCGTCTGCGTTTATCAAAGAAAGTATACCGTATGTCGCCATATCGAAATAATATCTCAATTTCTCCACTGACGATTGTTCACGAACATCGCTAGGTATCTTCTGGGGAGCGGGGGAACTCTTGTGTTTGATGTCACTATTGTGACACAATCTTTCATTTACAGACCTAAGACTCATAGTCGAGGTCGGCGTGCATCAAGGGCGGGCTTAGCAGAAGAGGAGGGACTGTTAAGTGCAGGAGCAACTGGCGCAGAGGATATTATCACGCCTTCTCGCAGACGGACAGGTGTTTCGGCGGACTCTGATGCTGTGTAGACGGCGTACGTGGTGACCATTACCCCGATGCCTATTTAGGGATTCTATAAAGATCCTAGGTGGTTTTATACTTTGCTACACTCCCTCGTGCTTTGTCCTTTGCTATGTATATTGTATAATTGAACGATGTATGCAAGGTGCTAATGAAGTACACTACCACCGCGACAGCTTCCGTTTCATGTCAATCTATTTGTGCGATTATAAATCTACTGAAACTATGTGCATCTGGAAGAAAATCAGTCTTCTCACGGAGCTCTTCGAACACCCGAGACTTGTGGGACCTTGTGGGTGTTCGGCGCTCACAAATAGGGCCAAATATACTATCTTACCGGACGACCGTCTCCGCCTCCCTCGTTTGTGTCCGAGTCAGCAATGGACTCACGTCCCCCGAAGAAACGCGCTGCAGGGTCAAGCGAGGACGTTGCTTCTCGTAACGTTCCCAAAAAGACACGGTTCGTCGAGCCATCTGAAGATCCCGTGAATTTTGCCGAGGAGGTCGACGCTCAGCTGGAAACGCGCCAGCGCCGCGGTCGTGTTCGGACCGAAGGCTACGACTCCGATTCCAGTGATGATGGGGAGGGAGTTGTGCCCAGCCGACGACCCGGCGCAGACGGTGCTGCCGCCATGGACGAAGATGAAGACATGTTTGCCGTAGGGGAGAAGGAGGACAAGGCGGCAGAGGAGACCGGTAAGAAGAGAGAAGAGTTCTTGCGCTTGGGGGATATCGAGGGGCAGGAGTTTGGTGACAAGTCGGGCTCTGACGATTCCGAGGGTGGTGAGGACGAGGAGGACGCAGAGCGGCGGAAAAAGGCAGGGATGGGATACGAGATCTCCTCCTTTAACATGCGTGAGGAGATGGAAGAGGGCAAGTTCGCTGCTGATGGGACGTATGTCCGCTCGTTTGACCCCCACGCAACACACGACCGATGGATGGAGGGGTTGGACGAAAAGGAAATCAAGAAGGCCCGCCGTAGTCATCGGCAGAGGGAGAAGGAACAACAGGAAAAACAAAAGGCTGAGGAGCAGGAACTCAGACAGTTTGGAGGAAAGGGTGACATTGAGAAGGAGCTGGTTGGCATGCTGAAGAAGGGTGAGACGGTTTTGGAGGCGCTTCAACGTCTCGGTGCGCAGGCAAAGAAGACTGGGAGTCATCAGAAAAGGTATGGCTCCATCTTGTGGTGCTTGAGCATGTTGCTAAAGAAAGATACAGCATGAAGCCAAACAAGAAACGTAGAAACGAAACTGGTGGCGACGCCGGGCAGGCAGAGAAGTCAGAACAGATTTCTAAGGCCCCCTCAGAGATTGATCGCATCACTCATCTCGCGTCAACACTCATGTCATTGGGCGACACGGATATCTACTCGCGAACATACGAAGAATTTGTCCGCTCAATTAGGTCGTCTGGCAAAGTGGATCCCTCATGGGTACCGCCGTCAGCAGACATCAAGTACGAGTACAAATGGGCAGTTCCCGGAGCAGCAGGTCAAGAGCCAGAGAATTTCGGACCGTTCAGCGAAGAGGAAGTACAAGCATGGTTTAAGGCGGGTTATTTTGGGGCGTCTGGAGAGAAGGTTTTGGTCAGGAAGGTCGGGAGCGACTGGGGCAATTGGAGTGACATTGTTAGTTGACACAGTGGGCCGTTACGGACACTTCGGATTAAGGTGTTTGACGTGTATCATTATCTGTATCCCTAGTCGATCCACACCTAGCATGCTAATCTATGTTTTCTTTGTTGCTACACATTGATACCAATCTATCTACTTTGCTGCTAACGTACAATGGATGTTTGGTGGAAGCGACATGAGAACGTCCCTGAAGATGAAAGTATCATACAGAAATAATCTTAATGGCTGATATATTGGAATACAAATGAGACTTCGGATGAGCCAACCTCTGCTCGTAATAGGTCGTCGTGATTGTTCTTGAGCTCCATGTTCGTAAAATGATTCCATCTGTAGCAGAAGTATTTAGTTCAAGCAATCATTCAAGGGTGGTGACGATAATTTACGTGCTAGCATCTCCATACAACAACGCCTGCGCCTTCATAATTTGCTTACCATCCTTGCAGCGTTTACACTTGAACGTCTCATGGGTTTCGCAGAGAGTCTTCTCGTTGAACAAGAAGAGCTTTCGCAAAGAATCAAGTGAGAAGTGTCGTTCGGCGTCCTCCATTTCATCGACGACAGCCGAAGAAAGTGCCTGCTTTGATGCTTGACGCTGAAAAATCTTTTCCTCGATGGTTCCCGTGCAGATAAATCGGTATACGAAACCTACACGAGATGAATGAATGGTGTGCTTGCTTGTGATATATAGAAAACATTTCATACACTCTTTCTTCTGACCGTCTCGCCATACACGCGCCAAGGCTTGCTGGTCTGCGGCTGGATTCCAGTCTGTGCAATATAAGTCGTTTAATTACGTCGTGTATCAGAGTGTGCGTACCAGGGTCGAAGAGGATTAAACGATTTGCTCCGATCAAATTGATACCACAGCCTCCGGCTTTACTGCTAAGTAAGAAAACAAATTCCTTCCCGTTGGGATCATTAAACTGGTCGACCAACTTCTGGCGTTTGTTGATGGTCATGCTACCATCAAGACGAAAATATCCATACCTGGGCAAATTCGTGAAGGACAACCAATAGGATATAGGAGACGCTCACTTCTTGCTTCGTAGAAGTTTCTCGAACAGATCGAGAGTTTGTGTGTAATTACTGATCAGCACGATCTTGTCATTTGTCTCGGTGTGAATGCGATGCAAGAAGCTGTTATAGAAGGTGTATCAAAAACAGAAAACTGCAGTCCTCAATGCTTACCGCTCGAGCACCATAAATTTCCCGCTGTAATCACAACGGACAGTCTGATTTCTGCCTTTGTCTCGGCTGGAGCCACCCGCCCCGGAAAAATCTTCTGGTTGCAGTTTCTCTGATCCTCGTAGATCATTAGGCAGATCAAGGAGTTCGGGATGGTTACAGAGCTTCTTCAAAATATTAATTGCCTTTAAAGGCTGGGAGTCTGCGCCACGAAGGAGTGCCTGAATTTCAGGCGATGAAATGAACAGGCGATACAGAGAGAGCTGAAACGGCGAAAGACCGCAGAAGACGACTTGTTCGTATTTGACAGGTACTGCCACAAGTCAGTCTCGTTTGAGTGTTCACAATAGAGGAGCGCGCTCACAGTATTTGGATAAGAGGTCATTTGTGCGTCTAATGATGAATTTCGCAACTAGTCCTCCAAGTTCTTTCAACTTCTTCTCACACTCGGCCTTCGTTTGATCACTCGCATCAGCATCCCGTCCACGTATAATCGCGTTCTCGAAGTTTTTACGAAAGTCATTCTTGGAGCCAAGGAAATTTGGATTGGCAAAATTCAGCAGGGAGAAGTATTCCGACAGATCATTCTAAACCGTGTGTGTTAACCCATGTCTCTATAAAAGCAGAAAAACGGACCGACCTGGATAGGTGTTCCAGAGAGGATGACTCGGCGTCTCACATTCAACCCGTTAAGGGCCTGGAATGTCAATGATTCTGAGGCGGATCAGACATTCATCATAGTCGCAAGGAAAACACACGAACCTGAATTTTTGAGTCGATGGCCTTCATCGCAAAGTAGGAGTCCAATACTACAATTGGCTAGGTGAGCGGTCAGTGAACGCAATGTCTCATACGAGACAATCATGACTGTTAGTTCAACGATATCAGTGAAAACAGCTGATACATTATGAGACGGCTTAACCTGGCTGAGAAACGTTCCTTCCTCCCGCCGCCACCCAACGTGCTACTCTCGCCAGCATCTCCGCTTTCCCTCCTTTTCCATCAATGGCTAGGGCGGATACGGTGTCCTTCCCCAGCCATTTTACTACAGATCCGCAAGCATGAAGTTTTTGGATTAGCTGATCAAAAATCGGACTCACCGAGTTCATTGGCCCAATTTTTGACAAGACTTGAAGGACAAGCGATGATGCATTTCTCGATAGTAGGCTTACCAGCGTGGGGAGATTGCTTAACGAGCGTCCACAAAAGTGCGATGCATTGAAGAGTTTTCCCAAGACCCATCTCATCAGCCATTATGCAGCCATATTGATTCTCGACAATCATTCCTGTCGTGCATTTGTACAGGAACTGAAGAAGATGGGCATCCCTTGAAGAGGTCCAAGAAGAACTCAAACTTACCTTCACACCTTCAATTTGATGAGGTCTGAGTACCTTGCATAGGCGTGGATCGATGACGACAGCGACTTTATCATTCTTCTTCCTCTTTTCATTTCCGCCACCCAGCAGCAATTTGAGGCTCTTGTGAGGATTATATAGTCCTGCGGTCTTTTGTCGCGCCTCCTCTGCAGCCTTTTCTTTGGCAGCCTCCTTCTCCCTCTCCTTCCTTTCCTCATCTGTTTCTTTATCATCGATGGTAGGATCGTACAGAACGATAGCGTGGTCTTCCATGGGATCATGGAGGGGTCGGGGTATGATGTTGGCAAGTGGACGAATCCCAAGGGAAGCGTTCGAAGGAATTATTTGAACGACATCGCCATCCTTGTTTCTCATCTCTGGAATTGAGAATCTCCTTGATACATCTCCGAACGGCTTCGCCTTATACACAGGGAAGTGCTTGATATTGTTGTCTCGCGGCAATTCAGGATTACCATGCTTATCGAGTTTGCGCTTCTTCTTGTGACCGTCATTGGCGTCGTCGCTCTCAGCGTCATGAGCATTCTGGTCCTCTTTATACGATACTCGTTTCCGCTTTCGCTGAAGGTGTTCGCGCTGAATTATGGGAGTAGGAGGTTTGAATGGTTTGTTAATGCGAGTGCTCTCCTGAAGGCGATCAACTACTTTTCCGTCTTTGGTCACCGGAGTACGACGTAACATCTGTGTGCACAAGCAAAACCAACGGAAGTCGAGTAGAGACGAAAGTCAGACCGAGACTCTCACTCGATACTGAGTAAACGCGACACGCGCCGTCCCCGTGACCGTGCTAGGACACGGTCACGTGAGCATTAGGGTAACTGCGACAGCAACCATGATATGTCTGTCTCTCTCGATGCATGTGCTTGTGTGAAAAGAACCAATACCTTGAAAAGATGCTTGGAAAGGAGAAAAAGTAGCTAGACTTGATACGGTACATCGGAGCACACGATTAAACTTTGTAAAATAATGACAGCAACGTCGACGACGATTCGGAGCCCCGCCTTGCAATTTCAATTGCACCAGCGAATATCATCCGCATGCATGACAGCGTTGGCATAAGCGGAGTGGTTTTCAATCGCCACTCGCACTACGACTAAGGTGTCGGCGAGCCCGCGGTGCTTTTCGGGTACAACTAATCTCTCTGCAAGGGCAAGGTTCTCGGAGGAGCACATAGCCAGAAGCTCGAGGTCGACCATTTCGACGAACTATGTGTAGAGAGGTCAGAACATATCGCAATACGCGGAGCAATGCACAAACCAGTTCACCAGATTTCAATCGAGCCTGGAAATGCTCGAATTGCGTCTTCTCCGCGTCTGTAGCTGAGCCTAATACGAGTCTTGCGGAAGAGTCTTGAACTCTAAGGGTGTCCAACAAGGCAGGAACATGCTCGCCCTTATAGAATTTACCCGTGGGTCCTACTGGCTTTGCGCCCAGCGTATCAAAGTAAGTTCCCGGGGGGTTGACGTCTACAATGAGAATAGGGATCGAGACAGCCGAGTCAAGACTGAGGAACAAGCTAGGCTTGACTCGTTCCGCTGAGCTAAAGAACGTTCGCATCAATACTCAAAATTGATGAAATTGATCCACTCACGAGTCTGTAGTCACTTTTTGCGACGTTGTCGATGCATCACGTCCGATACCCCTGTCCATCCAATTCAAGTCAGTCGATTTCACGGGCACAGTGAAACCCACACGCACAAAGGGCCAAATATAGTAAATTTCCAAGCTGCACTGGGGCCGCGGGAAGTAGATTCGGCAGCATTGTCGGTCTTTCGATTGTTCGCGTCATGGTGTACTCCACTCTCATACTGAGTTGCAACTTCTGCTTGCGCAGAGCCTTGCCTATCATTTACACTCGCCTGAAGTTTTGAGCTATCGCCTGACACAGGAACTACCATCTGCTCGACTTCTGACGTTGACTTGGTCCCGATCACGACTGGTCGCGTCGCAGCGACCACTTCACCGTTGTGACTATCAGCACTGTGCTCTCCCAATAGAACGCTACTATTTAAATTGGGATTAGAAAACGATGGAAACAGATATTGTTGCACGACCCACATATCAAGGACTGCTTTAGGCACGTGTATATCAGGGTCTAGTTCACCATGCGCATCTTCATCTTCAAAATCCTGGAGAGCTTCAGCGTCAAATTCGTTATATCCAGCCTCGCGAAGAAGTTCTTGACCAGTAGGAGGCACCACGGGAGGGTGCAACGGGCCTGCTATTCTCTCACTCACGTCAAATACGGGGCCGTCTCCAAGAAATAGTTCTCTAGTCCCTTCGACATCGCTGTTTTCAGCACCTCCACTATTGGAATGAAGGGTAGGAGGCGGAGCCTTGCTCTTAATAGTTTGTAACAGGCCTTTTTGGAACGTCAGGAGAGAGGAGCTCCCCATTTGTAAACCGTGCGAGGATCGGCCGGGTCCAGCCCTAGAGCTCGAGACACGATATTTCTTTGGTTTATTATCACCTGTTAAAGTCGCCATCAATGAGCCTTTGGAGCTTCGTGAGGTGGAGCAGTTGTTTTCTGAAACAACAGGCGCGTCGGATGTGCTGTGACCCTCCCGTCGTTGCATTAGCTTGGCCTTTGCAGAGAGGGCGCCCCCAGAACTTGTCCCCACGCTCAAAAGTGGTTCATCTATGATTTTGACTCGGGGGTTAGCGGCACGCGCCCGGTGCGCTGGTACAACAGAGCGTTTTGAAGTGCTCGCCGGCTGCGGTGGTACTA